CAGTGCTGGTTTGGTGCTAATGTATTCCCTTAGCGTTTTTTTTGTTGTTGTTTCTGTTTTTGTTTTGGTCTGGGAAGCTCTTCATTTGACTTTCTATTTTGAATGAAAGCCTTGCTGGATAGAGTAGTCTTGGATTCAGATCCTTGTTTTGCATAACCTTGATTACCTCATGCCATTCCCTTCTGGACTGTAGTGTTTCTGTTGAGAAGTCAGCAGAGAGCCTTATGGTGTGTCCTTTGTAGGTAACCTGTTGCTTATCTCTTGCTGCTTTTAGGAATCTCTCTTTGTTTTTAATTTTTGGCATTTTGATTACTATTTGTCTTGGTGTGGGCCTGTTTGGGTTCTTCTTACTTGGGACTCTCTGTGCTTCTTGAACTTGAATGCCTTCTTCCATCACCAAATTAAGGAAGTTTTCTCTCACTATTTCTTCAAATATATTCTCTAACCCTTGCTAATTTTCTTCTTTTTCGAGGACTCCTATGATGTGAATGTTATTACGTTTCCTGTTGTCCCAGTTCTCTTAAGCTGTCTTCCTGTTTTGTAATTGTTTTTTTCTTTTGGTTTTCTGATTGGTTGATTTTTTTTTACCCTGTCTTCTAATTCACTGATCCGGTTCTCGTCTTCCTCGAGTCTGCTGTTTAGACCTTTCAATGTGTTCTTTCTTTCTGATGTCATTCTTTATTTCTTTTTTTTTTTTTTTTTTTTTTTTACCAGTTTTTTCCATTATGTATATTTTGTAGTAATTAATTTTTGTTACAGATGTTTGTCCTTTCCCCCCACTGACTCTCCCACCCCCTCCCTCCTTGCCCTGTCCCCAAAGAATTAAAAATTCAACTTCCATTGTTTATTTCTTGTTGGTGGTTTTTAATTTCCAACTGGTTGATTTTCAACATTTCTATGTCTTTACTCAGGATTCTCATGTCCTTACACATGCTGTTGAGCTTGCTCAAGATCATGGCTCTGAATTCTAGTTCTGATAACATGCTTAACTGCACCTCATTTATCTAATTTTTAGTAGATGTCTCTTGTTCTTTCATTTGGCTTTTGTTTCTGTGTTTTACCACTTTGGCTATCACAGTGGGCTTTGGAGTCTACCAAATTTTCCCTGTGTGTGTTGGTGTTCTGCTTTTTGTGGCTCCATCTCGTGTTTTTGTATGAGGCAGTGAGGACCCAAGTTAAACACCACTGTCAAGTCTTACCTTCCTGGTTAGAGTTGCTAGCCCTGGAATGGTACAGGAATACTCTGGCTTTTTGCCTGGAGGCTATCGGTAGCTGTTACTTGAAGAGCCTTGGCCTCTCAGTTGAGTGAAAATCTTCCTCAGGTGTTCAGCATAAGGGGATTTCCCGAGGGTGGAGCAGATGCTGGTTGTTTATGGGCTTCAATTTGCATTTCAATGGCCACCTTGTGGTGTTGAATCTCCAAGGGTGGGGCGGCAGCCTCTCTCCTGAGCCCTGGGAAGCTGTCAGATAACTACCTTTCTGGGTGGCTGCAAGTCAGCAAAAGCTCTGAGTGCCCTCCAAGTCCTGAGTGTCCCCACACAGTTCCAGTCCAATCTGCCCTCTGCTGGAGCCTAAGTTAAGTGGCTGAAACTATTTTAACCTCTGTTCCGGCTCTGGGCTGTGGAGCAGCTTGGGAGTTTAACCTGAGGGCACTGCTCACAGGTAAGGCTGCTGTAGTCGCTGGGTTCCCAGTCCCCATCTCGCACCTCTGCAAACCTACCAGGATCGAGTCAGGGTCTCTGGTTATATGGTCCTCGCAAACTGCTATTCTGTTGCTTTTTCCTGAGGATTTGTCTTTATTTTTGTTGTAATTCCATTTTGATCCTGGGAGATGGTCTGTGTAGCTTCCATTCACTCAGCCTCTATTTTGGAATCTCAGCATTATCAAATTTTATGTTCTCTTTTACTACCTGTTTTTTGTTTGTTTGTTTGTTTTTGCTGTAATTTAGACCTCTGTATTACTATTCCATGTCATAAAGAGAACACAATGGAGGCAACTTTTCTGCTATTGATGGACATTTTGATTCTTTCCTATTTTTCACTCATAAAAACACGGCTATAACAAGTCATCTGACATATAGCTCATTATGAACACTGCAAAATATATTTAGGGGTGGACTTGCTAGCTAGTGGGGCATATACATCTTTTACTTTGCTAAGTATTGTCATAACTCAGAGGGATTCTTCTTTACTTTTCTAGCAGCAGTGCATGTGAGTTGATGTTGGCTCACATCTTTTGGGTTTTTACATCTTTGCCCAGATCCCCAGAAAAGATGGGAGAGGAATGAGGAAGAGGGAGAGCAAGGTTCTACAATTAGGATGAGAATGTCAGCTCTGAGGAATTTCCTGTTACATTTATTTTAATATGCAAAAGTTTTCACTTTCTGTTTTAGTGAAAATAATATTAGACTTCTGTGGGAAAACTTACATTCTTACTCTGAAGTAGAGGAGGTAGCCCCCCCCACCCCATTTTCATTCTTTGCAAATAAGTAGAATATGCCAATTAGCAAGCTAATGTTCTAAATGTTCTCTTGTGGTAATACTTATTTTTAAATATTTTATTTATTCATTTATTTTTTAATTTATCTTTATTGTTGAATGTATTACAAATGTTCCTCACTTTTACCCTATTGACCCCCTCCTCCCCACTCCTTCCCCCCTCCTACCTTTCCCCACACTGTTGTCTGTGTCCATTTATTATGCATATATACATATAAGTTCTTTGGTTTATCTCTTCCCATCCCCAATCCCCTTCCCTTTGAGTTTTGTCAGTCTAACAATCAATTTGTACTTTTTTTTTTTTAATTCCTTCACCCATTGCCCCAACCCTCTGGCAACCAACAAAATGTTCTCTGTATCTATGAGAATGTTTCTGTTCTGCCTGTTCATTTTGTTTGTAGATTCAATTGTCGATAGATATGTATTCATTGTCATTTTGTTTGTTCATATTTTTTAACTTTTTCTTCAAGAAGACCCTTCAACATTTCATATAGTAATGGTTCGGTGGTGATGAACTCCTTTAGCTTTTCCTTGTCTGGGAAACTCTTTATCTGTCCATCGATTCTAAATGCCAGCTTTGCAAGACAGAGTAATCTTGGTTGTAGGTACTTGCTTTTCATCACTCTGAATATTTCTTACCACTCCCTTCTGGCCTGCAAAGTTTCTTTTGAGAAATCAGCTGTCAGTCTTATGGGAACTCCCCTGTAGGTAACTAACTGCTTTTCTCTTGCTGCTTTTAAGATTCTCTTTTTGTCTTGAACCTTTTGCATTTTGATGATTATGTGTCTTGGTGTGGGTCTCTTGGAGTTCATCTTGTTTGGGACTCTCTGTGCTTCCTGGACTTGTAAGTCTGTTTCCTTCACCAAGTTATGGAAGTTTTCTGTTGTTATTGTTTCAAATAGGTTTTTGATTTTTTGTTCTCTCTCTTCTCCTTATGGCAACCCCAAGATATGAATATTGGTACACTTGAAGTTGTCCCAGAGGCTCCTTACACTATCCTCATTTTGTTTGGATTCTTTTTTCTATTTGCTGTTCTGATTGGGTGTTTTTTACTTTCTTATATTCCAAATTGATGGTTTGCTTCTACTATTGAATCTGTGTAAATTATTCTTTATTTCAGCTAGTGCCTCCTTCATTTTTTACTGTGCATCCTTCATTTCTGACTGCTCCTTTTGTATGCTCTTGAGGTCCTCACTATGTTCATTGAGGTTCTCACTAAATTCATTGAGCATCCTTATAAGCAGTGTTTTGAACTCTGCATCTGTTAGGTTGCTAATTTTCATTTCAATTAGTTATTTTCCTGGAATTTTGTTTTGTTCCTTCATTTGGAACCTGTTTATATGTCTCCTTTTTTGGCTTCCTCCCTGTGTTTGTTTCTATGTATTACTTAACGAGAAGTATGGGACTAGCTGAAACCAGATGCTGCTTGATTGAAGGAATTTAGAAAACCTGAAGCAGGATCCAAGACAGGCCAATCCTATGGTAAAGCAAGTGGCAACAGCTTGGGTGGGCCTGAAAGTTGGTTGGGGAATGGCCTCAGGGAATCACCAGGTCAGGGCAAACAGTGTGAGCCAAGTTGCTGGAGTGCCAGATATGGTGGCTATCTGCTACCCCAGGGAAGGGCTCACCAAAGAAACAAAGGCCTCTGACAGCATGTCTGTCCAGGAGAAAGCCGCCTTTGTAGCCATGGCTCCCATGCCAAACAACTCAGTTCTTCCTCATATGTCTCTGGTGCCTTTCAAGCTGCCTTCCCCATGCTGGAGCCTGGGGGGTGTGAGTCCGAGTAAGTTAGTGTGTGGACCCTTTAATAGGAGCTGCCTGGGGCTCCAGAACACTCTGCCTCCCTCAGCCTCAGTTCCCCTGGTTTTATAGCCAGAAATGATGGGGACTTCTTTCCTGGAACTGGAACCCTGAGCTGGGTACCTGGTGTAGGATGGGAACCCCTCACTCCTCAGTGAGGACCTTCACAGCAGAGGTGTCCTCCTGATTTTTTTCTGCCACACATAGGTGTGGGACCAGCCCATCATGCCTCTGCCCCTCCTGTCAGTCTCAATGTAGCTGCTTCTTTAATTTCTTAGTTGTAGGACTTCCATTCAGCTTGATTTCAGTTGGTTTTGAATAATGGTTGTTCTGTAGTTTAGTTGTAACTTTGATGTGGTTGTGGGAGAATGTGAGACCGCGTTTACCTACCCACCATCTTGACCTGAAGTCACATCTATTTTTAAATATTTTAAATAGCATGGAGCAGTGGGTTTATTCTTATTGCTTTTTGATGTTTTTAATTTGGTAAAATAAATTGAATTTAAAATGTGATACAACTTTATGGAGAAAGATTGTACATAATTATTTGCCACTCTAATATGCATATTGTAATGAGAAAAAAATAAATGATAAGAAATGTGTTTACCTTCTAAAACAAATAAGAAAAATCTTAAAGAGTAAGTTTGACCATTTTATGTTGTCTCTTGTGTTCACAGGTAGGAAAGGATAAGTCCCACAGAATGCTGGTGGCTGAAGGCAAACCTGGAATAGGTGAACTGCCGCTTGCACAATCGACAAAGCCTAAATACAGTGCATTTCCTAAAGCAATGGGAAGTGCAGTACCATCTTGGGTAGCTTTTGATAAACAGGTAAGTTACATGACATTGAAAGAAATACAGTCTTAAAATGTTACATGTACTAAATATTAAGTAGATTTGAGAAAATAAGAGTCCTCAATGTAAATGCTAAGGCTAGTTTTTCTCAAAAGACACAGTCAAGACAAAAGTACCCTAAACAAAGAAAAGTTATCCCTGCTCTTGTTTCTGACCAGGCTCATTGGTTACAGAATGCCAAATGTTCACCTTTCTTGGCTAATGTTTATCAAACTTTCTATCTTTCTTTTTAAAAATACTTTTAATAGATTTTTTAGAGAGAAAGGAAGGGAGAAATAGAAACATAGATCTGAGAGAGATATATCAATCGACTACCTCTTGCATGCCTTCTACTGGGGACTAAGCCTGACACCCACGCATGTGCCCTGACAGGGAATTGAACTGGGACCTTTCAGCCCATGGGATGATGCTCAACCACTGAGCCACACTGGCCGGGCATACCTTTCTTTATTTTAATTAATTGTTTTCAAATTACAGTTTACATTCAATATTATTTTGTATTAGTTTTAGATATACAGCGTAGTGGTTAGACGATCATGTAATTTAATAAGTTTCCCCCCAATATGTCCAGTATCCACCTGGCACCATACATAGTTACTACAATATTATTGACTATATTCCCTATGCTGTACTTTATATCCCCACGACTATTTTCTAACTGCCAATCCGTACTTCTCAATCCCTTTACCTTTTTCTTTCAGTCCTCCAAACCCCTCCCCTCTGGCAAACATCAGTCTGTTCTCTGTATCTATGATTCTGTTTCTGTTTTGTTTGTTCATTTATATTGTTCTTTATTTTCCACATATAAATGAAATCACGCGATATTTTATCAAGCATTCTCTCATCTCCTCCTTAAGCTGTTCTTTTATAGATATGAAGAGTCTGATCAGGCTGTCACTTTTTCCTAGTGAGTTGACATTAACTTTGATTCTAGAATGTCCTCTAGATAGCAAGAGAACGATGACTTCTCTTCTGTTCTTACTAATTATGGTTCCCCACCCCAGAAAACCAAAGAGTCCCATGGCAAGAATTGTAGAAGTGAAGGAAAGAGGTGCCATTATTAGAGAAGTGTTTGAAGTTCTTGTGTATGTTTATACATATAACACACACATATATACTGGCATATTGACAGTTGACAAAGGCAGTCCATCTGAATATCTTAAAAAGGGACTAAGATCAAAAGGAAAAAAGAAAAACAAAGATGACCAGTTCTCATTGCTTTGTTTATCGACAACCCTGTACCACTGCCCCATGTTCTGTTCTCTAAAACAGAGTCTGTATTTGATTATTTAGGTCCTGTAATTAAAATATAATTCAGGATTAGATAAATAATTCAAACTTTAGTATGCTGTTTACCAGGTGGTTTTTAGCAGCTTTACCATAGATTGGTTGGCAATACTCTGATTCCACTTAAAATGTATTCAAATTTGGTAGAAATGACATACCCCATGTTAGCAGCATTAGGGTCCTTCACTTAAAGCACATATCTTTTTGAAGCTTAGTTCTGACTCTTATGGAGATCTAACAGACTGTAGGGAAGCTTCTTTCCTCGGAAACCATCTCAACTTTGAACATGGAATATTTCTCTCTCTCTTAAAAAAAAAAAAAAAAGATATTTTCAGTACCTGGCTCAGTGTTGGACCCAGAATTCAGAAACAATTTCTGCGATTATGTACTTTAGTGGATCATTCATGGTTTCCTGTTAATATCAACCTTACAGGTATTTGAGTATCATCATTCTAGAATATTTAATTTGTAAAGACCAAAGAAAAGATTTTACTTCATATGTCAAAAACAGTTGAAACTCATTCTCTACTGAATAAGTAATGTTGTAGACCACAAAATATTAAACCATTCTCTTGAATTTAAAATTCCTTTTATTTTATGTTTTTCTCAATATGTAATATGTATCTTTAAAGCCTATTTTGCAGTCCTTTAATTACTTATAAAATTATGTAGACTATTTTGTGAAGTTGGAATAATTTTAGCTTCCAAGTACTTGAGAAAATGAAGAGCTTGCTCATTTCAGGCCTAACTAAATGCAACATAGTTCTTTCAGTTATTTTGTTGGTCAACTTCAATCAAATATTCATCACGCTTTAAACAAGACACTAAAACTATAAAATATTTACATGCTCTCATGAGATTCTGAACTACAGAGTGGATCCTGGTTAATACACATAGCATATTATAAAACTCTTTCCAGATTCATGGTTCAGCAAAACAAGTCAACATCTGTTAATCATTTTTCTTAAAAATGAGACATTTTAAACTCATTGCCAGTTTTACCAATAGTTTTTAATCATAGCAATACATCTAGGGTTACATTTACAAATAGTACAAAGTAAAAATAAAGGCAGTTCCCTGGAAAGTGTGTCAAACTTAATATCTATAGTAGTAGATGCTCTTGGTGTCCATCCATATCCACATTAAGTATGGGGCATCCTCACAGAAAACTACAGGTCATTGAAAAAAGAAATAGAGGAAGATATAAAAAAGTGGAAGCATACACATTGTTCATGGATTGGAGGAATTAACATCATTAAAATGCCCATAGTACCCAAAGCAATCTATAGATTCAATGCAATCCCCATCAAAATAGCAACAATATACTTCACAAAAATAAAACAAATATTCCAAAAGTTTATATGGAAACAAAAAAGACCCCAAATAGCCACAGCAATCTTGAAAAAGAAGAACAAAGTTGGAGGACCACATTACCAGACATCAGATTATACTACAAAGCCACTGTAATCAAAACAGCCTGGTACTGGCACAAGAACAGGCAGATAGATCAATGGAACAAAATAGAGAACCCAGAAATTGACCCTAGACAATGTGCTCAATTAATATTTGACAAATGTGGCAAGAGCATGCATTGGAGTCAAGACAGCCTCTATAATAAATGGTTTTGGGAAAATTGGACAGCTACATGCAAAAAAATGAAGATAGACCGCCAACTTACACCATACACAAGAATAAGTTCAAAATGGATAAAAGACTTAAATGTAACTCACCATTCCATAAAAATCCTAGAAGAAAATACAGGCAACAAAATTTCAGAAATCATACGCAACAGAATTTCAGAAATCATAAGGCAACAGAAACAAAGGAGAAAATGAACACATAGGACTACATCAAACTAAAAAGCTTCTGCACAGTAAAAGAAACAACCATCAAAATGGAAAGGGTACCTACTGTAGGGGAGAGTATAATTGCCAATGATACAACAGATAAGGGGTTAATTTCCAAAATATATAGAGTATTCACATAACTCAATAAAAGGAAGACAAAGAACCCAATTAAAAAATGGGCAGAGAACCTAAAGAGACACCTCTCCAAACAGGACATACAAATGGCCAAGAGACATATGAAAAAATTCTCAACATCACTAATCATCAGAGAGTTGCAAATTAAAACAACAATGAGGTATCACTTCACACCTGTCAGAATGGCTGCAATCAACAAATCATCAAACAAGTGCTGGCCAGGGTGTGGAGAAAAGGGGACCCTAGTACACTGCTGGTGGGAATGCAGACTGGTGCAGCCACTATGGAAAACACTATGGTGTTACCTCAAAAAATTAAAAGTTGAACTGTCATTTGACCCAGTGATCCAACTTCTAGGAATATACCCTAAGAAGCCTGAAACACCAATCAGAAAGAATATACGTACCCCTATGTTCATAGCAGCACTATTTATAATAGCTAAGATCTGGAAACAGCCCAAGTGCCTATCAGCAGACGTGTGGATAAAAAAACAGTGGTATATATACACAATGGAGTACTATGCAGCTGTAAGATATAAAGATCTCTAATCCTTTGAGATGACATGGAGGGACCTGAAAAGTATTATCCTAAGCGAAACAAGCCAAGCAGAGAAAGACAAATATCACATGATCTCACTTATTTATGGAATATAATGAACTAAACAACTGATGAACAAAATAGACCCAGAGACATAGAAGTAGGGTAGAGAGTGACATTCCTCAGAAGGAGGGGGGGGGAGGGATAAACCACAGAACTTATATGTATGTATACATAACCAATGGGCACAGGTAATAAAACTGGGGATGGGGTAGGAGGGGATAGGGAGGAGGGAGTCAATGGGGGGAAAATGAGAAACATCTGTAACAAAAATAAATTAATAAAAAGAAATCTACAAGAAAAAAAATATAATGGGGCATCCATCCTCCCCAACTGAAACAAATGCTTTGGCAAACAGTTCACATTTGTAACCCCCACATGGAGTGTTGCTCTTTGCCAATGGGCATTGTTGCATCACCCAGCAAAGCCTGGGAGGTTATACTGGCCCCTTTACCACAGAGGGGGTAGCAAATGGTTGACTGATTTGTCATGGCTAAAGAACTGAGCTTCTTTAAGGTGGACACCTCTTTATTCTGATATAGGCTCCTAGTTCCCATGCATCCAGCCAAAGCAAAATTACACATCCTTCCTTGGCTAATTTCCTTTCCCTTGCCTGCTCCCCTCCTCACTCCCTTTCAGGTTTCTCCTATGAGTATGTCCATAACAAATCACATGTACCTAAATCCCTGTTTCATGTTGTTTCTGTGGAGTCTAGCCTAAGGAAACATTCTGGTTTTTATTCATAATTCTAAAAGTGACCATCAAAATGCTGTGTTCTGGTTGACCATCAAATTACAAGCAGAGAAGAATCCATTTGTAGTTACCAAAAGGAGCCAGTGTTTATTGTCCTATATGGACCCCATGGCAGACATTTCTATCTGTTTATCTTTTATTCTCTCCCTCCACCTTCATTCTCAAGGAGAGAACATCAGTTTTATTTAGGCTGGAGATGTGAGCACTTAAAAATGTTCACTGACCAAGACTCCTTGCAGCTAGGGCAGGCCATATGACTCACTTCTGGCCAGTGATACATGAGTTAAGTTTTATTGGATGTGGTTTTGGGAAAGTTAATTTTTAATTAGAAGAGTCAGGCTCATCTAGTAATTCTTC